AAAATAATAAGAAATTAGATCGACAGATCTCTCTCTCTCTCTCTCTCTCTCTCTCTATCATCCAACAATTACATCAAATCTAAAAAGAATCACTGGGGACATTGACTATTCCTTAATTGCATGGGTGATCCACATCGAGATTAAACATGGACTTAAAGAAAGCACTATTCCCACTGAGAGAAATACATCAACAATAAGCAAGCAAGAGTGCCATATAATCTTGGCACACAAACAAATAGCTCATGAAAAACAAACAAGGCGAGTTTTCTCCATCAACTGCCAAAGAGATACACGCACTTTACTGAGAAAGAAGGCGACCCAGATATCGAATTGGCCATCAGTTATTTTGGGAGTAGTGATGTTCGAATGGAGATGATCGTCACCGCGAATGGAACAGCATCCGGCAGTTCAACAAATGTGTCTTTCGAAGAGCTCCGCCCAGCCATGGCTTCCTTTCCATGTATTCGTGTGTGAACCTTGCGGCACGCTGAATCTCCAAATACTATTTTTGACTATACCTTAGAAAAGTATACTGACATCTATGTTTAGTCATATAGCTATATCTCTCTAATCAGTGTCAACCAGCGACAGCTACGCCTGCCGTATTTTGGTATAGAAAAATGAAGCAGTTGACAACTGAAATGTAACTCATAGAAGCCCTTAGTTCAAGGAAGAACTTTTATGAAATATTCGGAAAATCGTCTTGTCTGCTCAATTACTTACAACTGTTTAGTTTGCACACAGGAATTGATGAAAAAGACGTTTACCTTTCTTTACCTTGTCAACAAGCTGATGATCGCAATCCAGTCACTATACGGAACAATTCATGTATTTTGCGTATAATTTCAACTTCTGAAGGCAGTAACCCGAGGAATATATAATCCGAATTTTTAGTCCCGTCCATTTCTGACCGGAACTAATGAAAGTATAACATCAATTGCTCGGAATACGTAACAATACCTTCATTTTAAATACCAGAAAAGGTCATTTGCCCGGATTATTCTACAGAAAAGTTGAATCCATCCACGAACTAATGCGAGAAACAGTACGAATGAAGGCACTCATAGGTCAAGGTGATAAGCCTGCAGAAGGAGGAGTGGGAGTTAAGGAATGATGGAAGGGAGACAAAAATCTCTTTTTAATTTCAAATTATTCATGTGATATGGTAGTAATAAACAGCTGAATAAAATCAATATATTAAGGAGATAATCTTTTTTTGCAGAAGAAAAGCTAGAAATTTTTTAGCAAATTTAATATAAAGGGAAAAGATTTGAGGAAATGGATGGAATCATCCTCATGTTAACTTTCAGTTCACTATTTAACTGATCCAATAAAGCCATTCATCCGTCATACAAATGGTATTTATGCGAAATCCCTGAGAAATTTGAGAAACGACATGAACGTCCAAGTTTTTTCTTCATAATGTGTTTGAAACCAAAGAATAAAAAGTTTCCAATCATTCCAAAATTCGATCTGCAAATATGTCAAACCACGATGCGACGAGTGCCAAGAAATGACTCACTGATTAATACGATCGTGTCACACATCACATCAGTCTTTATCTTCTAATTTTCCAATTTACCACGTGACAAAAAACAGCATCACTCTCATACTGAAATGGCATGAAATTGATGCCACTTTTTTAATTCTTTTTCCGGTAAACGACAGAAAAGCCATAAGAAAGCTGAAAAAAGAAGGTAGTATTCGTAAAGCTGCAGAGAGCCGAAACATCCACCGGATGCGCTGAGAGATTCATCGTATCAAAACCTGTGCAAAAAGAGCGCATTATAAGCGCATAACAAAACCGGAATCAAAAAAGACTTCTATAAATTTCCGACAGGTGAGCTCGATACATTTCCATCGAAAATTGGCTATTTTTGGATACATGTACAAAGTATGTATGTATGTGTATGCATGTATGCGTATGTGTATGTGTGTATGTGTATGTGTGTGTGTATGTGTATGTGTGTGTGTATGTGTGTGCGCATGTATGTGTGCATAAGCGTATTATGCTAGAAATATATCTGTGCATGCACGCATGTCCAATTTTAATGGCGAAATACTGGTTGCTGTGAGTGTGATACTTATTTGAATCGTGTGTAATGATGCCAAATAAGTTAAAACCAAAGATCAGAAACGTTGCGTGGTATTTCTATGCTGCCATCGTCATTGATACAACCATTTCAGTCATGCTATAAACTATTTAAATAGGATCGCAGACAGAGAGACACACAAATATACATACAATTGTTGCATTTCGGCAATTTTCAAATGATTCTTTTAGCGACAAAGAAAAAATAGAAGAGAATTAGTTGATTATAATGTGTTTTATAATATCGGATAATGACTTCTTATATTTAAAGATCATAAATTTTAGGAAGTTTTAAGAAAGTGTAGTTGCCTGCAATTTAATATTCAAATTTCGTTCCAAACATTGCTTTGAAAAATGGCGTGAAGAAGTAATCTGAAATAGATAGTTGTTTACATTCGTAAGTAAGGGAAGTGTAGAAATGGAGTTGCACAAATTGCCCAAAATAATAAAAATGATGAGGCCGGTATATCTAGTATATCTATGGAGAAATTTGAACGAATGTAGGGATAAGATAGACGAAATGTTGATGAAACTTTAGTGTACTATTTCCGCCTAAGAAGTTTCTGGATGACGGGCATTTCCATGGACCACAAAAAAGAGTATGAAAAATTTGTGAGCAGGGATACAAAATGCATCGAGGAAAGCATTGGTGAGTGGGAAAATGATGCCTTCCGGCATGTTGCTAAAGAGAGAGCCGCATCGGAATATCAAGCAATGAACAAACTCCTGCACTATCGTGAAGCATGGATGATACAGGTAGCCAACCGATATGGATTATCTCACCACTTCCCATGTCATTCATGTTATGTCATATCATATCATATATCGTGCATTTATTTTTATTGTCCTGTTCATTGTAAATCACTTTTCGGATAAGCTAAATACAATCAATTAAGTTTTTATAAGGAAATAAGCTTTGAAGGTTTGTTATAAATATTTGTTGAGAGGTGATATCTATAAAATATACTTCTATCTTGATATTCTAAAGATAATAATTTCTCACAATAAATGATTTGTTAATAAAAATACATTTTTCTTTTGTTAAAATGTTGTCCTTGTAAAGGCAAAATATACGAATTTTGTTAATTTCATGTCAATAAAAAAACATCAAGACAGCATATTCCGATTTAATAGCGAAGGGGATTTTATCGGTTAATTAATGGAATAAGATACACTGATAACATCCATATTCTCGAATTACGTAACTTCCGTAGTTACACATTCCATTGTATACCTTCCAGAAAGCATTGTTCTTAATTTTCATTTCATTCTAACTTGAGTTTTAAGAACACTATGGTTTTGGAAATAAACTTGGTTAGGAAAGGATTTAATTGTTTGCTATCTTATGATGATCAAAGTGAATTCCTCAAGAAACCTATCAAGAAACCTACCAAAAATATTGAGTATTGCTCAATGAAAAATAATTAATATTAGGTGCTAAGCGTTGATCATTACATTTCAATCTGCTAGGAGATGTTTTACAACAATTGAAAGTCTTTTTGCGTAGACACAGTGACCATTTGAGCAAATACAGCAGCTATCCGCTAAACAAGGATCCACCGTCTGAAAAGTTTGTCTTGTTGCAAGTTTGATGACGAAAAAAGTGACAGCACTGAATAAGTAGTCCGTTTCACAACACTATTAATCAACCTTTTTGCTCAGCTTCTTGTACCATTATTTGATTCAACAGTTGAATCAATGGGATGAATGGGTTAACATTTTTTTCTCTCCAATAAAATAAGTAAATTTAACGGGAAAGAGAGAATTGCCACTCAAAAAACTAAATTAAATGAATGAGCAAAAAAAAAACGAAAAAAAAAAAATAGACAATCGAATAGCAGCAGCAGCAGTACCTGCACCTGCAAATGTAGCACTGATATAAGCATGCACTATCGTAAATATATGCTATCCAGATTGCTAACTGCGCTGGAATGTTTTAATAAAAATCTCATTTGATAAATATGACAATCAATCTCTTACTTATAGCTTTTGACTAGAAGAAATGATTCATTTCTAAAAATGATATAGTATTTCAGTAAATGCTAAACTTTCATAAATTAATATCATGTAATTCTTTTATTTCACATAGTGGAAGGTGAGATTGTTCAAAAGATAATGAATGCAAGCAATTATAATGTGCACAATCAATGTGATGGTAAGGGACTGAGCCAAGCGAAAACATAGTCTATATTTTAATTAGCCTTATATTGTAATCTTATTGTGTTACAGTATATATAAAGCTGATTAGAGTTTATATATACTGCTTTTTAAGTGGAGGCTACACTGATTTCGAGCTTAATGGGTACAAACGGAGTAAACACATTGAATTATCGCCTTGAAAAGAGATTGAGTACAGCGATAACTGATAAGGCATAATCGTCGTATGCTTGACTTGTTGCAGTTGGCCTTCATATGTAACGGCAGTTGTAATATCGATAACGTAATGAGCGAATATGTCCTTCATCGCCCTTATGCTCACTAGATTGTGTTCTTCAGTACCCTTATGGCCACTCTAAACAGATTATGTAATCACAAATCAAAATGCATTCATTCTCCTATTTATCATTCATTTTTATTTACCTTTCGTTCTTATTAATATCAAAAATAACATTTCTCTCGAGCTCTAAAATTTGAAATTCCCTGAGCAATAAGTAATGACATATGTGAATTTTGATTCCATTTACAACAATATAATAAATGAACAAATGTCTCTGTACCAGGCATTTATTGATTAATTAAACTTTGCTAGAAATATTGACTGCTTTCTGTTTTTTTTTTCGCCCCAGAGACGAAATGAAATAAATGACGCAAGTACATTATAAAGCGTGGGAGCAGACTGCGACAGTCTGTTTTCAGTTAAAATAAAATATGCATATAAGATATAACTTCTGTAGACAGAAGATTTTAATGTTTAATAGTCAGTATAAGAGAAATGAAGGAAAACGTGAAGCCGAAAACCTTTCACTTCAATACTGAAGTATTGGAACAAAACAGTGATATTGGTTTCGGCTATGATTCAAGAGAATTATGATCATTTTTACCTTAGGAAACCAAGATTTGAAGATCTCGGAATTTGATCAATAAATAGAACATTTCCAATGATGAGATTTTACTAAACTATGAACTTAAAGCCTCAAAGCCTACACTCTTCAGATATTAATTAAAGAATCAGATGTTCAAGTTGGATTTCAAACGAAAGTTGGTTCTCCCCATTAGCAACTTCAAACAGTAAAAGCAATAATTCTGAAATACATTTAATTCAGATCAGTCTCCAACGATCTGATAGAAGCAAAAAGACATAGAACTCCCCTTGACCTTACGACTCACTCATCTACAATGAAGACTTGATAATCTTGATTTTTTTATAGTTTTGATTGAAGACCGCCTTATTACTGTTATTTCTTTGCAAAGAGTAACGGTTACTGTTTGCAGATGAAGAAGAAAATAGCAAATGACGAAGCCGTTTTATGCGAAATATTTAACAGAAGAGAAAGAATTGAATATTCTCCAAATATCAACAAGTTTTGTTTGATGCTGCAGATCAACTTGTGCATCCCATTTCTTTCCCTCTTCCTCCTTCATTCTCGACCAATAATAACAGGAGAGAGAAACGCTGAATGGTCCACCCATAAGTAGATGCACAGACTTTGCCGCCTTAATTATTCCTTTGAAGCCAATAGGGATAAGATTCGTTGTCCCCATAATTATCAAAATCATTTTCATTGTTATCCCCATCAACAACAGTACCATTAGTAGTGAGAGCAACAACTAATCGAAAATTTCTCTCATTTGGAACTTTAAAAGCACTAGTACCATATAATTTAATACAGCGATAAATTCAAAAGAAGCATCAGAGCAAAATGAAAATTCCATAAAATGCAAAGAAAGGGGTCAAAGATCCCATGATTGATTAAGCTGAAAGTGACGAATTCTATAAAGTAAATCATTATGTAGTGATATAAATAAAGCCAAGTATCCAATAAAATAGTCGGGGCCTAAGCCTGGAGCTTCAGTTGTATGTTATGGGTATGTTATATTACTGCATGTGTAACTTGCTTCGACATATTTTTTTCTTTATTTACCGATAAATGTATGTATCGATGATATCAAATATATAAAACAAAAATCACGCATAAATTGTGGGAATATTAATACAATGATCGTTATTTAATGAAAGCTTCATAAATTTCATTGATAAAGAATGGAAGCTACAGGTACGTACGATCGCGAAACAAATCACAACAAAGGCTCCAATAATTAGATTTGCAATCATAATCTCCAGTAAAATCGAATTTTAACAAATTACAACAGATTAGGTATGTTAAAAAATATCAGTGGATGTAGCAGGGAGGGCGGATGTTTCGGAACGCTAGAAACTCGGGGTAGTCATATAAGACATCGTATAAATCATATTTCTTGTTGAAAAACTTAGCCAAAACCTTAGACAGTGGATTAATCGGTTCAATTTATGCTGGTGTTATTTGAGCGCCTATTTTCTATGACTATATTCGGCAAGCAGTGACCATTGTAAAGAGATAAATTTCACTGACTGCTGACAAAACGATCCAGAAGATCTCAGTGACAGTCCTGATAACGACTTTAATTAATCTTTAGTTCTGCTTTACCAAAAAAGATTCTATAATTTCGTATCGGAATGACTAGTAAGGCTCTCAGTAAAGAATGGCGTGTAGTATTTTTGGCAGTTATTTTCCTCCTCTCCTCTCCTTTGTCTCTTTCGCTGCTTTTCTTTTATCGTCACTTTCTTTCTGTCTTTCACTGAATGATTAGTTGCCTTCTCTATTTTCGGTACAACAAATATAAAAAATACTTCAATGATCCCTAGATCCTGATCGAGGCCCGAGCAATGAGATTGCAAAAGCCTACCTAAAACATCTGACGAACTGTGTAAATCCAAGAGCTTATATTCATTGAATAAAAAAACTAGCATTTTACAGCGGAGAAGCACTGCACCTCAAGGAAATCATATCGGAGAATTGTTCAACTGAAAAAAATCTGAGAAAAAGGAAAAGAAATCAGTTTCCTGTTATACTACCTTTTCGGGAATTAATTAAGCTAGACGTCCTTCCATACATATTAATCTTTATCACTGTTCATTTTTCTTTTTCATCATCTTGTACCGTTAACAGTAAAAAATGAAGAGTTTTGTAAATCATCAAAAAATCCTGGACTGAGAGTCCTTTGCAAATAAAAGGCTTCTAATTAAAACAAAGATATTCCGTAAATTTGGAGCCATATTTATGGTAACACTAGTTGTCAAATAACTTTATCAGTCCATCAGCTGACTGATTGTCCTTACACATTAAACAAATGTGTTCTAAAGTAATACTCACAAGAAGAAACCAACGCATGTAAAACATTTCTTTGTTCCCACTGCAGCAGAAAACATTCCATACACTGCAAGAACTAGTCGTTTACAGTTGATTTGAAAAACAAAAGTGAAAGAGTCGAAGGGCTGTTGAACGTATTAAAACAGCGAAATATTTTAATAAGAGTGAGAAGGAGAAGGAGACGTTTTTGAAGCAGCAACTAAACGACGTAGTAAAACGTACTTTTAACTACAGAAAAGCCGCCTAAGCTTTTCCAGGCAAGCATAACACTGAATGCCACAAATACATATACATACAGCACGAGCTACCACTAATTCGCATATAGCTATCAATCGTTTCCTTGCTTTCGTCTCATATTACGTTTTTAACGAAAAATTCCTTCCTTGCAAAAATTTTGCTCGGATGAAGTTTGAAATCATCCAAGAAACAAATTTCAATTTGAAAGAACAAATTCAAGTTAATCGTGAGTAATACACATGATTAGAGCAATTTGATATAATCCAAATTCAGCTTTCCATCACAAGTAAATTGGGAAATGAAAGGTGAGGCAAATGAATTGAAAAAAGGTGAATCAGGAAATTAAGTCGTGCACTTTTTTCACGAAATTACTGTCTAGATATTATTTTCAAAAACTAAAATGTTGAAAATGATCTAAAGAATGTGGAATATCCTCTTTTCCTTTTCCATAATAAATACTTGGTGGGACGAGGACATGAGGATTTATGAAAAACCTTTTTTTGTTTTCGAAATTTTAAAATCTTTCAAAATTTGTAATTGTCCGAAATAATTTTACATTTGTAGAGGAAAGGATTGAAAAATATGGAAGCCTTAAAGAAAGGAATGAAATTTGTCAGAGACTAGATAGGAAAGACAGATTGTGATAAAATTCTGTTATCAGTCTGAAACAGAGAGCTGAAAATCCTCATCACGCATATGCTTCCAAACGAAATCCTCCAATGCTCTATTGAAAACGAACAGCTTTATTTTTGAACTATTACCATGAAACGTTTCGCTATTAAATATCTAAAATGCTAATTATTTATCTGCTATGACAACAAATCATCAATCATCAGTTTCGTATCTTCATTTAGCCTCAAAGTGAAATAATCCGGACTATACAATAAAATGAAAATAAATGCGCAATTTCAACTGATTACAGTTTCAACTAGACGAATGGATGGCTTCTGACATTTGAAAGAGGTGAACTGACCATAAACATTGTTTACAATTGAATGGACTACCGGGTAAAAATCCAACCCCAATTCGTTTCATCTAGATCAGCATCACAAAATCCTCTCTTTTCATGATGTTAAACTCCTCCTCTCGGCATCCCAATTTACTAACCTTACAGGAGTTCAGAGATTCAATGGTTCACAAAGTTCAGTCTCATTTCTTGAGTTCGCCTAGCATGTTCCTTTTGATGCCTTTCGAGCACTGTATGACTAGCCTGTGTATAAATCACCGAATTTTCTGTTGAAAAGTACAAAAAACACATGAAATACGTTACTGTACAGTAACGTATTTCATAATGGCTTTGCGGCAAATTTTGCTCACAATTATCCTGCAATGTTTAGATTAAGCAAAGTTAGTTTGGCCTGATGAAACAGTACTTTGGTGAGCTTACAAAAAATGAAATATAATATGATAGCTTGTAGGAATATAGGAGCTCTTTGCTACACTATGCCAGTTGATACTTTGCTCTCAATCCTAGTTCCTTATTTAATTCACGAACAGCAACTTATCCTACGCTATCATGGGGTGTACAGCTATTCAGGCGTCTATGAGTATGCTTATAAGAATCGTTGGGACCAAAAAGTATTTTAGCAGTGTGAACGAATTTTTATACATACAAATAAAATAAGAGATTTTAAAAAGTTTCACATTTTCAGTGTTTCACATTCTCAGTGCTAATACTTTTCGATGAAATTCAACTTTTAATCAATAAATAGAACATTGTTGATACAGTATCTAAAACAGTTGCGGGTGCTTATCCTGCACTGATCTAGACAGATGAACCGTAAGGGCAATAGTGACGAAACCGTGTAAGTTGATCCTGTTTTCCGGCACCAGGGTTAGATGCAGCTATCTACTATAATGTTGACATTGCCCACCAGGGGGTAAGAAAAGAGGAGATGAGGGCGCTGTTGGAAAGGGAAGGGTGACAATACGCTTTAATTATTTAAATAAATGTACTGCACTCAAATTTCTTCCGGTTCAGATAGATTCGGATAGGTGATTCCTCTGCCGATAGTGCCGGATCTGTTTTGCGCGGATTAATGATTCGCGTACTGATAACACTGGCAAAAATAAGGACTTACACCGTTTCGAGCGACTACAATCGCTGTTATAAAACGGAATTAAATTAGACAGCATATCGGCTAAGAAACTTTATTCATTCATAAAAAACTAATTCGGAAATTCGGACGCAATGAAGAATAACATTAATACATCCCTCAAATTTATCCAAAAATTCGTCAAGTTCGTCTGGATTTCATTGAGGTTTTTTCAATCCCTTAAAAAGTATTTTCTAATAACAGTCATATATTACAATGAACTATAAATGATATCATATTATTCACAATCGAAGCTTAATAATCTATATTAGAAAAAAAAACAACTTTACACCTATATATATTTTTTGTTTTTGTTACATCGTAGATTATGTATTTTTGTATGCATATAAAACTTTGAATATCTGGGATGCAATTTACGAATAGTGTCGAGAGTCCAGTGAATTCTACGGAAAGATTTCGATCGTAGTAAGATGTTCCAAATCCTAGATTTGAGTACACAACATTTGAGCCTGTATTAATTTATCAATCATTCTCTATTGTAGCAAGCATTCGCTGACTCGGAATAAACAATACAAATATTTCACAAAGGAAACTGCGTAGGGACTGAAGCATAAGAGGTACAGCTCAATCTATCATTATTTAGATGCTTCAAAATTAATTCAATTTCACTAGTGAAAACAAAGCACGGAATATTACTGAAAATTATATTTGCGAAGAAGCAAATAAATAAAAATTTTCCCAAAAGACGTGGTGTTACAGAAAAGCAATGGATCTTCCTATCTAATTAATAAAATCAGAAAAAAAGATGAAGTTCGGAAGAGATCAGATGCTTATTGCATGAATACATGGACAGAAGAAGTAAGAAGGAAGGTATGCGATTAGTGAAATCCTCTCCCTTCGTTATACTTAATCGTCAGGGGACATGAAGAGATTTTAAAGTGAAAGCAAGATGTCGCTGTTGATGTGAAGTTCATTGGCGCAAACTAAACTGGCAACACCAACAATGGCAATAATGTCAGACTGCCTTGGTCTCACATCACCTTATATACTTGGAATATTC